CAATTTGCCCAACCGTTTCCTTTTCCAGATGGATGAAGAAGTGGCTGAATCTTCAAATCCAGACTAGGCAAGAAATAGGTTTCACTTTAGAATCTGAACTGAACATTTAATAGTACAAAATAGTTTGAAAAATACCTGGGGGTGGACAGAGAGTTGCCCAGATTAGTAAGTCTTTTATCAAAGCAGAGAATGCGATCCAGAATAAATGACAGAGGCAGCCGTATCTTCTGCCTTCAAGGCTCGTCTGTAGAATAAAGGCTTTTATCTATGTAGAATTGTCCGATGAATAATTAAAAATAATTTTGGAAAACGTGAAGGGCATAAACTTAAATGCTCTCAATGCTGCGCATTCAAAATTAAGGTTTCTCAGCAGATCTAACAGGACAGCTATAGTTTTTTTCTTTTAAAGGTCATATGACACATTTCACAGTCATAGTTCACGATTTATGATGAAGTGTTTTCATGTTGTATATGATCATGATTATCACTATTACTGTTCTGTTCCATTCTATTCTATTCTATTCTATTCTATTCTATTCTATTCTATTCTATTCTATTCTATTCTATTCCATTCCATTCCATTCCATTCCATTCCATTCCATTCCATATTTTCTATTCTATTCTTACTCTTTCCTGTTCTATTCCATATTTTCTATTCTATTCTATTCTATTCTATTCTATTCTATTCTATTCTATTCTATTCTATTCTATTCTATTCTAGCCTTGGTACTTCTTACACATAAGGACGCTAAGTCCTCCAGTTTCTAAGCTACATTTTAGAATGTTTGTGATGTATTGTGATGTTTGTGGGTCCTCCCAGAGTTGTGGGTGCTCCATCGCCGGAGATCTTGAAGAAAAGATAGGATAGCCCATTTGTCTGGAATGCTCCTTCCAGCTTGGTCAGGAATTTGAACTACTAGAAGACCTCCAAGGTCCCTCCCAGCCTTATCATCCTTTATCTTTTGGATTGCTAAAAGTTCTTTGTCATTGTCTTGAGAACCCACTAAATCCATTAAGCTTATAATTTCAAGTAATATATTATATAGTACCCTCATTGCAATAATCACTTCCCAGTCCTGGTGAATTGATTGTTGAGTCTGTTCTCAAGAAACCTTAGCTTCTAAGTTCTGTTCTTTAGTCTATTCCAGGGGTAGGCAACCTTGGCCCTTTTATGACTCGTGAACTTCAATTCCCAGAATTCCTGAGCCAGCCATGCTGAGGGGGAAGGGAAAGGTTACCATGCTGAGCCATGCCAGCTCAGGAATTCTGGGAGTTGAAGTCCACGAGTCATGAGGGGGCCATAGTTCCCCATGCTGGCTGAGGAATTCTGGGAGTTGAAGTCCACCAGTCATCGAAGAGCCAAGGTTGCCTACCCCTGGTCTGTTCTTTGTACAACAGCCTGCAGGGCTGGTTTTTAAGCAAGATTTAAGAGATTTGTAGAGTTTTTGTTCCAGCATTTTGTAGCTCTCCCAGAGCCACAGATAAGTGTTAATTTATTCCTAGGCATCAGGGACAAAATGGTGACATATTTGATATATCAGTATTTATTATCTACCTTCAAGATCTATTGAAGCCAGTAGGACCTTAATGGAAGATGACAAGACTGCATTTGACAAGGCTCAGTAAGAACAGATTTGAATTTCCTGTCTTTAGCGTGTTTTTTTTTTTCAACCCTTAATGTTGCTTTCTGTATTTTTGTGGGTTTTATTTTTAAAGCAAAAAAACAACAACAAAACGCACTTGTCCAAAAACAGAGGCTGCAGTGAATAAGAAGTTTAAAAAGTTTGGTTTGAGATTTTCAGAGTTAAAGACATGAAAACAGAGGATCAAATGACAGGTCGCCTTCCAGGGACAGAAGACTGTAAACAGCTGAAAAGTGGAATTAAGGACTCTTGAAACTAAAATCCACTAAATTTAAGAAATATCAGATTGGTGGGAGTTCCTGGAGTTGCAACTCTTTTTAACCAAGCTTTTGTTATAGTCAAATGCTTATCAAAATTTGTATCAATTTAATTTGCAGTTGCAGCTAGAATAGAATAGAATAACAGAGTTGGAAGGGACCTTGTAGATCATCTAGTCCAACCCCCTGCTAACAGGACATATTTATCTCAAGTCTTACATACCGCTTCGTTGAAAATAAGAAAATTGGGTTTTTAATCAGAGGAACATCTTTGAGTGCGTGCTAAACTGGAAAAAAAAAAGGGACTTATGATCGTTTTTCATACTTACAAACCGTTGGAGCATCCCAGAGTCATGTGATCCGAGGTCCCTTCCAGCCCTAGGATTTTATGATCTGGATCTTACGTTTCTCCGGCTTTTCCTGTTGCTCCCTGGGTTTTAATTAGCAATTAGTACTCTCTGTCTGTCACTTTGATTTTCTTAGCTTGGCCTGGGGCTGACCAGTTAATTGTTCTTTCTTTCTTTCTTTCTTTCTTTCTTTCTTTCTTTCTTTCTTTCTTTCTTTCTTTCTCTCTCTCTCTCTCTCTCTCTCTCTCTCCTTCCATCTCCTTCCCTCCCTCCCTCCTTTCTCTCTCTCTCTCTTTCTCTCTCTCTCTCTTTCTTTCTCTTTCCTTCCATCTCCTTCCCTCTGTCCCTCCCTCCTCTCTCTCTCTCTTTCTTTTTTTTTCTCTCTCTCTCTCTTTCCTTCCATCTCCTTCCCTTTGTCCCTCCCTCCCTCCTTTCTTTCTTTCTTTCTTTCTTTCTTTCTTTCTTTCTTTCATCTCCCTCCAACCCTCCCTCCCCCTTCCTTCCTTCCTTCCTTCCTTCCTTCCTTCCTTCCTTCCTTCCTTCCTTCCTTCCTTCCTTCCTTCCTTCCTTCCTTCCTTCCTTTCTTTCTTTCTTTCTTTCTTTCTTTCTTTCCACGGAGCCATTCCTTCAGCGCTGCTGCTCAAACAAAGATGTTCAGAATTCAAACGTTTCGCTGCCTTAGTAGTGTGTGTTGCGTAATATCTGTGTTCATATTGCTGGTGTTCTTTCCTGTGGGAATGATGATCGAAGTTGCCAAATATTTGAGGACTAAGAGGCTTAGGGGTTGAAATGCCACGGTTGCCATCTTGCCTGGTTTCAACCCGCCATTCCTAACATAAGTTGTTGGGCTGCGTAAGTTTTGAAGACAACTTGGGAGATCTGATCCAAACTTCTTCGGACAGAGCACCTCTTTGCTGCTCGTAAAAGCAGCTCAACTTAAAGCTGTCTCATTTTGCCACAGAAATGGCAACACAATCGGGCCCAAGGCTGTCGTAAGTCAAGGACAGTACCTGTACTACGATTAAACAGGGCTGATTATAAACAGATCAGGCGGCTGCAAAGGACGCGGACCCGGCTGAGGATTTGGTTCTCACTGGGCCCCTCAAAATTCAGATTCATGCCCGACTCGTCGGTATGTCAGATATGCGCAAACACAACCATCTTCTTTTCCAACATTCGAGCTTGGTGGGATGCAGGGCAGATGCCAGAAAGGACGTTTTGTCGCAATTGTGGGTGTCAGCACCGGTAAGTGCGGCTCCCCAGTTGTGATTCTATTGAAAACTGACGTTGTGGTGCTGCCACCTCTTCTGTCTGCAGGCAAACAGGATGTGGCCTGTTGTAAATGGCTTTCTCAGCAGAGCAGAGAGGGAGAGTCTCCCCCACAAATCCTTACGTAGAGTTTTGCAATGCCTGCGGTTTGTGTCGTCTGGAGGGGAAAACTCCAGTTGTCTTTCTTCATGACTGCACTGGCATAAATTCATCAAATGGTTTGAATTTAGGACTTCCCTTATCGTTCCAATTTTGTTCCCCGCACGTATATTGTCCCATTTTCCAGTTGAATTGAATGTAAATAAATTAAGTAAATAAAAATAAATAATAATAATAAAGTTAGAAAGGACCTTGGAGGTCATCTAGTCCAACCCCCTGCTCAGGCAGGAAACCCTACAACATTTCGGACAAATGGCTGTCCAGTCTCTTCTTAAAAACTCCCAGTGTTGGAGCATTCACCGCTTCTGGAGGCAGGTGGTTCCACTGGTTAATTGTTTTCACTGTCAGGAAGTTTCTCCTTAGTTCTAGGTTGCTTCTCCCCTTGATTAGTTTCCACCCGTTGTCCTGCCTTCGGGCGCTTTGGAGAATAGCTTGACTCCCTCTTCTTTGGGGCAGCCCTTGAGATACTGGAAGACTGCTATCATGTCCCCCCTCGTCCTTCTCTTCATTAAACTAGACATACCCAATTTAATCAATCAATAAAAAGAAAGTGTACAGAGAAGGGGAACAAAGATGATTGGGGGACTGGAGGCTAAAACATATGAAAAATGGTTGCAGGAATTGGGTATGGCTAGGGCGGGACATGATAGCATCTTCCAATATTTGGGGGGCTGCCTCAAAGAGGGAATCAAGCTATTCTCCAAAGCGCCTGAAGGCAGGACAAGAAGCAACGGATGGAAACACATCAAGGAGAGAAGCAACCTAGAACCAAGGAGAAACTTCCTGACAGTGAGGACAATAAACCAGTGGAACAGCTTGCCACCAGAAGCTTTGGGTGTTTCATCACTGGAGGTTTTTAAGAAGAGACTGGATAGCCACTTGTTTGAAATGGTATACAGTCTCCTGCCTGAGCAGGGGGTTGGACTAGAAGACCTCTAAGGTCCTTTTCAGATATTATTCTCTTTAATTCTGTTAATCAGTGGAACGGCTTGCCTTCAGAAGTTGTGGGTGCTCCATCACTGGAGATTTTCAAGAAGAGACCGGACAGTCATTTGTTTTAAATCAGGGGTCTTCCAACTTGGCCCTTTGATGACTTTGTGGACTTCAACTCCCAGAATTCCTCAGCCAGGCACGTGTGCCTGGCTGAGGAATTCTGGGAGTTGAAGTCCACAAAGTCATCAAAGGGCCAAGTTGGAAGACCTCTGTCTGAAATGGTGTAGGGTCTCCTGCCTGAGCAGGGGGCTGGACTAGAAGACCTCCAAGGTCCCTTCCAACTCTGGTTATCCTGCTAAAATGTCTTTCCTTTTCTGTTTTGAAAACCTTAGGCATTCGACCTCCGATCATGAACGGCCCCATGCATCCCCGTCCCCTCGTTGCACTGCTTGATGGCCGGGACTGTACGGTGGAAATGCCAATCCTGAAGGACGTGGCCACCGTGGCGTTTTGCGATGCTCAGTCCACCCAGGAGATTCACGAAAAGGTAAATTGCAAAGGTCTTTATAAACGCGGGCCAGGGACTTTGTTTTTACTCAGGTGAGGATTCCGTTGTTCCGACACTGAGCAGGCTGTGGAACAAAACACAAGGATTGTGCGATTTGTCGTGCCTGAACAGAAGGCAGGGGTCTACTCCAGTTCCTTATAAACTGCCACTATCTGCTCTGGGAAAACTCAGCCTGTTTTGAGAAGGGCTATCATGTCCCCTGGATAATGAGTTTCTTCTGTCTGGGAAAAATAATCCCTAATTATGAACTGCAATTTGCAAGAATCCTCTACTGTGGCTGAGCACATTTGACTATTCCAGCTAGTTATGATTGTACAGTAGTTTGTTTAATGACCATTCAAAGTTGCAGTGGCTCTGAAAAAAAAACCACTTACGACCGTTTGTCACACTTATGACCGTTGCAGCTTCTCCGTGGTCACATGATCAAAATTCAGAGGCTTAGCAACTGGCATGGACTTAATGACAGTTGCCGGGTCCTGGGGTCACGTGATCCCCTTTGTGTGACTTTCTAACAAGCAACTCAATGGGGGGAAGTCAGTTTCGCTTAACGACAGTGTTAACTAACTTAAAAACTGCAATGACTGAGTTAACAACTCAGTAGCAAGAAATGTCGTAAAATGGGGCAAGACTCACTTAACACACATCGCGCTTCGCTAGATCAATTTTGGGCGTAGTTGAGGACTGACTGTAACTGGAGAAGCACAATCAGTTAACAGAAAATGGAATATATATATATATATATATATATATATATATATATATATATATATATATATATATATATATATAATATTTTATTGGTTTTCCAGTTTTACATTTAAGTATTTGGAAAGCAACGTGGTGATTGGGTTAGTCAATACTTCAATAACAAAATCTTTAGTACATATCTCAGGTTACATCATCAAATATTTCTTCTTATTTCCCTTAACGTTTGCTATATCATATTTAAGCTAATAGATTTCTAATTATATCAAACTCAGTTAAAACTTCATTATCACAATTATCGATACATCTTTTGCTTATACATATCCATATCCTGTTTTTAAATTTTACCTAATTTTTAGATTTTAATTACAGTACTCCAATTTAACCTTTAATATCCATAGTATTTAAGTTAACCCAAATTTCCTTTGTCTCACTACATAAAAGTTATAATATCTAAAATACACATATTATTTACTTAAATATATTCTTATTTTAATAGATTCCTAATTTAATAGAAATTTTTTAATAGATTTAATAGATTTCTATTTTAAATCTTATTTTAATAGATTTCTAATTTAATAGAAATTTTCTATTTCTCATCCTAATACATCACCACTTAATAATGGAGAATCCTTTGTTATCTCAAGTCCATCATCTGTGTTGTCTAGGCTAAACAATAATTCAAAATTATTTCCTAATAGTTAGTTTTGATTTCTCTTATAAGTCTAAGTCCTCAATATTACGCCAATTAATAATAATAAGAAAATGGAATCTTAACTGGTTTAATAGCGATGAGCCAAAAGCTTCAGAAAATAGGTTTAATAAATGTGGATCATCAATGTTGGGCCTTCCAAACATTGTCCATATATTAGTTGTGCTAACTTTTTTCTCCCTTTTCCACTTAAGTGTGTCCGATTCTCAAAAAGTATCTGGACAACTCACCACACTTTTTTTAGCTGGTTTTTTTTTGTCATGTCCTCCTTCCTGGTTAATAATTTGTGGAATATTAAGCGACAGAGCTATTGTAGAAATTACCAAGGCAGTGCAATGCATTTGCAGGATATATTGCAGCTACCACCAGCAGCAGCACAGCCTAAAAATTATTGTGGCAGCACAGCCTAAAAATTATCGTGGCTAACAAAGTGAGATGTCCATCCGATTAAGAAGGATCATGATGGATTGTCCTTGTGTAGGTATGTGTGTCTGGTAAATAGGTTTGTGGAACCTAGGAACTTGTTGAATACATTTTACAGAACATATTTATGTATTTTTCAAACAAGTTGGTTCAAGTCAAAGAGCTAGATGAGGCTACATCAATGTTTCCCAATCTTGACAACTTTAAGATGGGTGGACTTCAAATCCCAGAAATGGGGGATTTGAAGTCCACCCATCTTAAAGTTGTCAAGATTGGGAAACATTGGATTATTCAGTTGCAGATCTTTCTCCAGGCTGACACCTTCGTTGAACTGACAACAGCTCTTGCAAAAATCTCCTAAGAAACATGCGTTTTCCTTCCGCAGAAATTAATATCCTTTTTGTCAATTGTTCATAGCTGACCTTTTTGGAGAAATGTCAAGCTTATTTCCTCTAATAAATAGAAGTGTGCTTCTGAGGAGTCGGAAGCATTTTGTAGCGCCGCTTTAATTGAGGACCGCCTCTCGTCAAAAGCTCTTAGATATTTTCGGCCTGAATCAAAGGTCACTCGAATTCAGCTGTCATATTTTGAAGATCTCATTTGTGTTCAAAGGAGTCTCCCATTCCAGGTTTGTCGTGGTGGGTGCGAGTGGAGACGCTGCAACAGCCGTCGCTTTGGGGCCTGGGCTGTACGTCTATTTTTTTTTCTTTTCAGCACTGTCGTAATTTTGACCAAATGATCGTAACTCAAGGATACCTGTAATATTTTTTGTAAGCCATCTAGGGCAGCGGTTCTCCACCTGTGGGTCGGGACCCCATTTGGGGTCGAACGACCATTTCACGGGGGTCGCCAAACAACGCAGTCCGCCATTTTTCCCCCCTTTTCCTTAGCTGTGCTACTCCCTTTTATTCTATTGGCTTTTGAAAGCCAATAGAATCGACTCTCTTGAATAGAATCTAATTCTATTGGCTTTGAAAAGCCAATAGGAATGGTCCAGGCTGTCTCTGCCCTGCTGAGCCCGCCAAAAGTCCCATTCTGCAAACGGTGCTGCACCGGTTGAGTAGTCCTCGACTTACGACCGGTTGGGGGGTCGTGGCATTAAAAAGGTTGAGAACCACTGCTCTAGAGTCCCTAAAAGTGAGTGGTGGCCATTTGGATTCTCTAAGTAAACAAACAATCAATCCATCCATTGGTTGTGATCTTGCGCAACAGCCAGCCTGCCCTGTGTAAAGTCTGCCGGATTCCCCTTAGGAACGGTGGCAAGAAAAGTCGTAAAATGGGGCAAAACTCACTTAACTAATGGCTCACCTAGCAACATAACTTTGGGTCTCAATTGTTGTAAATCGAGGCCTGCCTGCCTGCCTGCCTGCCTGCCTGCCTGCCTGCCTGCCTGCCTGCCTGCCTATCTATCTATCTATCTATCTATCTATCTATCTATCTATCTATCTATCTATCTCTAAATCTCTATATCATCTATCTATCATCTATCTATCATCTATCTCTATATTTATCTATCATCTACCTATATCTATCTATCTATCTATCTATCTATCTATCTATCTATCTATCTATCTATCATCTATGTATCGCTATATTTATATTTATATCTGTATATCTCTGTCTGTCTATCTATCTATACATACATACATACATACATACATACATACATACATACACACACACACACACATACACACACACCCCTAAAATTTTGCATATTGTCAGAAACACGGCAGGTCTTCTTCCACCACAATATTTTAAAGCTTGATATGGAAATTTACTTTCTTTTTTTCTTTTTTTGGCAACCTGCAACTGGTTTGCTGCCAAAAGTAGATTTTTTTTTTTTTTTAAAAAAAAGGTAGTTCAGTTTCTGCCTTATTATAAAGCGGGAACATTAGCAAAAGAACCGAAGGAGTTGCTTCCCGTCAGCGAGTTTCCACCCTGAGAAGCCCAGAGAAACAATCCCTTCCCGCTGGTTGCTGGCATTTGTATCCCCAAAGCAAATCCACATCCCGGGCAGCACCCAGAACAAAGGACTCTTGATGAGTCACGCCTGCAACGTTGCTCAGCAAAATGCAACTTTTCTCCTTATGCTGGCGGAAGAGGAGAACAGCAGCAAACGGCCCAACCAGCTGACTTAGACAGGCCTTCGCAACACAACGCACTGCGAAGTGCCTGAACAGCGCACAAGGGCACGAACAGAGTACACACACACCCCTAAGATCAGCGGTCAGACGGGTGGAATGTTTTGCATTTTAAAATGCATTCTTAATTCTCTGCAGACAGAAAGATACGTGACGAGGCCAGCCTAATGGCAAAGCCCCCCCCCGCCCCAAATCAGCAGGCCAACCAACCCCGTTACTCTTTCTCTCTTTCAGATGCGCCGTTGTAGTTGGAAACGGCAAGAGTCCGTGTTCAGACAGCCAAACAAGCCAACAAAGGCTGTCCTTAGGGACGGCTTCTAGAAATTGTGCAGAGACTGCTCCTGATTTAATGGACCTTTGCGCAGAAGGAGGGGGGGGGTCCGTTAAAAGAGAATGTCTGTTAAACGCAAATGGGATTTGACTCCTGTGTATTCTTGCTTTTTTTATGCCAAAAATAGGAAACGATACTTTGCAGAAGGATATTCTGTGCAATTTATACTTGTAAAGGAGCCAAATGCAAGGATCAAATGTGCAAAAGCAAGCAAAGGATGACTTGCTAAGCATAAGGATGCTCGTCCCAAGGATGCTTTTTCAGCAGGCAATCGGACTTCCTTGTTTTGCTTTGAAGACGTTTCCCTTCTCATCCCAGAAGCTTCCTCAGCTCTGACTGGATGGTGGGGGAATGGAAGGATTTATACTCCTTGCAGACAGCTGGTCCTTTGCCTTCTTTTAGAGGGTCTTTGAGGCCACTTGGAGGCTTATCTATGTCCTCAGGGCCACCTGAGTCATTGAGAAGTTGGAGCTGTGCTTCATGCAGAAAGTATAAATCCTTCCATCCTCCACCATCCTTTCAGAGCTGAAGAAGCTTCTTGGGTGAGAAGCGAAACGTCTTCAAAGAAAAACAAGGAACTCCAGTTGGAAAAAAAAGCACCTTTGGGACAGCCGTGACCTGGATGACGGAGAATCTCCATGGACATAATGAGTAGAAGAACAAG